TATCTACAGATCGAATAGAATAAAATAGTATTTGTATTTCTTTGGTGAACGAAGAATTATCCAACCTAATTATCAAACCACAAAGATTCGCTAGTGTAACGCGGAACGAAATAATAAGCTTTCGGTTGCCTGCTGGCCTATAGGACAAGTTAAAATAGATTTGTTGTAACATGAAGTGAGTTAAAATTTTCTGCGGTTGACATCAGAATTGAAAATCACTGTCTTGCAGACGTAAATGACTTGTCTTATCAGTTCAAATACGTTCGTAATCTCTCGTTGGCAATGATAAGAGAATTCCACTTCTTTCTTCTTCAGAGAATCTTGCACTCGGCAAGAAGAAAAAAGAAAAAAAAATTATGCTTTTTCAGTGAGGTGAGTTCGACAACCTTCGTTTGAAGGAATTGTCGAACACCAACTGTACATGAACTTAGATATTTCTTAGGTACAACTGCGATAGTGGTATTAATAGTTACGTTTCGTAACTTTTGTGAAAATAGTGTATTGTTAATTTCGTTGAGTTTCTAAAATTGCCTCGCAGAAGTTCTTCGCTTACAATTAGAAAAAGATTGTTACGCACAAATTTCTCAGATATGATAGTAACCCAAATAATATTTTATCTTTATGTGTTTGTTTTAATGGTTCTACGAAATCTACAACATCAATTTTCGATATCTCTTAGAATGTCATTTTAAAAATAATTATTGTTATTAATAATAATTAAAAGTTATTGCTTTTTTTCCTTTTGTTCCATGTGAAATTGGAATTTTTACAAAAAACGCAGATATATAAGAAGATTAAAAATCTGATTCGTTTGTTTAATTAAAAATAATATTTCGGTTATATTTTTGTTACATACATCGACTAATTTTTACACGGTTCGTATCATTATTAGCATATTATATATTTTTTTAATTGAATTATTAGAAAACAATTTTTTCGTTCATACTATAGATATCGTAGACACTAAAGAGCATATAAAATTTTAACATAATTTTATTTTTGTTAAAAGAAATTATAATCTTATCAATTGAACTTCATTATAACAATATAAATACGAACTGCAGAAATTAGATGTAGATTCAAATATTCGTCTTTGTGATTAATTTGCGATTAATTACATGTTGTTAAAGGAAAGGAAACTGAAATTTATATCTGTATCATTAGATTATTTACAATGATTTTATCACTGACTATAAAAATTAATAATAATTTATGAAATATTTAAATGTCATGTATTTGCTTGATATTATACGAAGATTAATTAAGAATTTTACATTAGATTTCATTTATATAACATTAATTTGATAAAGCACTTAACTATTATGATTACTTTAATAATTTCTGTGTGTGTGTGTGTGTGTGTGTGTGTGTGTGTGTGTGTGTGTGTG